TGTTTCGTTTTTCCGGTTTCTGTTTCATTTTATACAATATGAAGTCCTTGATGAGATTCGAAACGGCGATTTCTGTGTCGGTGACATCCGCGATAATGCATCGTTACTCGTCGAATGAAAAATAATAAACGCGAAAGGGTGCTGTGGGGGTGGCGGGAAATCATCTGGGAAAAGTAGAGATCCTTCTGATGCGAGATAACGTGCGGCCGAGGAACAGATCTTGTACGGGCTACCGGTAACTCGAACCTTCGAGGCGTGTGCCGTTGGTTGGTACACTCCTCGGAAGAGAAGTCCCAGAGACAGATTCGTACGGGAGCGCGTTTTACCGACATCGTTCGACCATCTCGAATACCGGCGCGAATACTCGACTTTCCATTCGACTCGTATTCGGCGGGAATATTCGCGGCTGTCAAGACCGGATCAAACGACAAATCTTATTGTTAGTCGCGTAAGATACGTTGCGTTGACTTATTATTCGCGGCAACAACGCTATTACGCAATAATATCGAGCTTTACACATTTGCATTTTTTTTTTTTTTACGACGTAATCGCGACACAGAAATCGCGTATTCTTACAATGTGCTCGCCTACTTCGTCATTTGTGTTTTTTTGCTTCCCGCCTTTCCTTCCTCATTCGATTAAAGATTGTATCCGAAGAACAATATTCTTTCGCGACGCACAATTATCGATAAATATACGTATATGTATAATATATGTATATATAAGTATGTATACCTATATATTACGCATAAATAATCGACAGCGCGTTTATCTCTGATTTTATGTACAATTGTATAGATTACACAAAATTAAAAATAATATTTTGCGGAGACGCATCTCCTTCTTTCTCACTATCTCACTCTCTCACTCACTCATTCTCTTTCTCTCTCTTTCACTTCTCTCATTTTTCTGTTCAATCTGTCTTTCCCTTTCCCTTTTTTTTTCTCCGTCCATTACTTTCTCTTACGCAACAAGTAAAATAATACCATTTCTGTTTTCTTTTTATTTAGTGGAAAGTCGTATTATAGTCATTTTCATACTGTAGGAACTTAAAATGGTGACTTCATTGTGATCGGAGTCTCGGAGAAAAATAAAAACATTCTGTCCCATTCGTCAATCATACCGGTGTCTATATATAATATTCCGTTCATAAAAAGCTCAACCTTTTTATAAAACGCTGTCTTTTCGTAGAACGAAGATTTATAAAAAGACCGAGATATATATAAAATTAGTTTACAAATTAACAAATATAAAAAAAAAGAATTCGAAACTTTTTTAAAAAAAAAAAAGCATATACTACTCACTCAACTGAGTAAAAGATGCTGAACGGTTTGAAAAATCAATCTCCTCGGAAGCGGGAGCTTCTTTTGAATGAACACTACATGCGTTCTTTACTGCAAGTCTCGAACCCTCTTTTCTCACACCCTAGATAATGAAAATAATGACGCAGCGTTATTTATAAAATGTCCAATGAAAGTATGCAGTTCCAACTTTCAGATACAAACCTTCCGTGTTTTTCCATTCTTATTTTGTGCACGTGTGTGTATTACAACATTTTAACATATTTTAATGCGGATTACCATTGCATAATTAATTGATAAGAATTATAATTATTTATAATTACTTACGCGCCAATATCTCGTCGAGCATATAATCGTTCGAGCGGACAAACAGTACAAACAATTTTACCCAAATTTATTTAAGATTTTCTTTCGCATTCACCGTTCATTTTTCCACTGTCTCTAATGTGTATCCATTTAATATATATTGCTTAATATACATCGCGCGCGCGCGCGCGCGCGATCTCAACACAACATCGCAACGTAAACAAGCGAATGCGCCGATTTAAATTCAACTAACGTATGTGATAAGCGTAGTATCCTCTTTTACGATAATAAAGTAACCAATCGATACGCGTCTCTCTATCCGCACCCTATGCGACAATGATAATGCTCCTTTTTCTCTGTGCCTGTATGTGTTTCCTCGCTCTCTTTCTCATCCTCTCTCTCTTTCACGCATTTTTCTGTCTCTCTTTCTTCTTCCTTTCTTTCCCTTTCTCTATCTCTCTCTCTCTCTCTCTCTCTTTCACGCACATTAGAATCAGCTCATCTTCTCCCTCCTTTAAAGCTCTGCGCGTCGTTCTTCGCGAGAAAGGCGAAAGCCGATGAACATCGCAATCGGAGGCAAAAGTGTTCTCATATGTTTAATGTTCTAAAGGAAGGGGATCTACGAACAACGAAACGTTAATTGAAAAAAGAAACGTACCGACCGCTTCTTTTTTCAATCACCTGCAAAATAATACTGAATTCTGCACACATAAGTGCCTCTCTATCACAAATATATCTATATGCGTAACATTCATGTACCTCTTGCACGCACGTTCACACGCATACGAGCAGTCATTGCCTAACTGTATGCTAAAACCTTTGTGCGACTCATCACATACAGTTAAGACGTAATCCTATGTCTCTATTTCTTCTCTCGTCACACAACAGAGTGGATAAAAAATTGGTAAAACCATTTTCAATGTGGCTGTACCATCTCTTACGTCTGTTGCTCGAGCGTCGTTTCGCGGTGTTCGATATTAATTATTGAAACAAAATTATCTAATGGAAACCAAAAACGAGAGCTATTACAAACGGTTATTACAAAAAAAATATTTCAAATCTGAAAAAAAAAGAGAAAAATGCAGATGTTTCTGTCAATATTCGGCAAATGTTGGTCGATTAAAAAACGAGCGTTAGAACGAATTTAATTAGATGTATCAATACTATCACTGATGATTTATTTAAGTGCAAGTAGACAATATAAGTATCGAAATGCGTTATGTGCATTTCAATGCTTATATGATGTCGAACAATTGCGATAAATATCTTATTAATTACGCGCTATGCATACGTTTACGTAAATTTCTATACTTTTAATGTGCAAAAATGTAAATTTTTAATATGAATGAATGTATCGACGTTCACGTGAATTTATCTGACATTGTTGTAAGTCGCGGAAGGAAAAATGAAAGAAGTTGTAAAATATAATATATATAGCGAGATTATAAAAAAAGAAATTTGCAAAAGAGTAAATAATTCTAAGCGCGACGGAAACCGATGGTACAGCCCGCTAGAGCAGTTATAAACTCTTTTGAAACACCCTGTATATATAATATATAATATTAATAGTCAATAATAATATCAGTTTGTATTGTACAGGCTGTTCCGGGGGGTGCGGGGTCCGAAAAACGCTGTGGTCTCTTCAATCTTTATTTCAAACCCTCTTCATACGCTCCCTCCGTCGTTTATGCTCTACTTAAGTTGCTATTTTATTATTATTATTTAATATTACTATTATTATTTTTTCTCATAATATATCTTATCTTATTTCTTTCTAGGATTAGTAAAGAGTGTGACATAACGGATCCTATCATATGATTCTTATCTTTGCCATTCCTCGCCATTTCTTATCTCTCTTCCTTTTCTCATTTTTCTTCTTTTTTCTTCTTAATTTCTTTAACGAAATAATCGTATCGTTATTATAACATTATCAATAATTTTTATCATTACCTTTACAGTTTAATATGTAGCATTTTTTTTATCTATCGTAGATTTGTCTGTGGCTATCCCTGATGTGTTATTACCCTGCGCTTCCGTCTGGTTGTCGAAATATTGTTGTGAAATTGTGGTCTACGATTAAGAGTTTGTATTCAACGTTTGCTCCATATATTTCTCTTCCTTTCATCTCTTCTTTTCGAATATTCAAATCAGCATAATTTCGGCAAGTCCAGCTATCGGTGCTACGGACACGTAATATCTTTTTCTTTTCGCGTCAGTATCATCGAATCGAACTATTCCAATAATTATACCGTCATGCCCAATACTTAATTTTCGTTTAAAAAGCATTTCGCGTTCCGGCATTTTAAGATCAGCGATCGCGCGTGCTTGCCTCGTCCCTCATCAAATTATCAGTTCGCAACAAGTCGGCCAGAGATAGTCATTCGCCAGATTCGACAGATTGAGCGATTTTTCCATCATTCGCGAGTCGTCAGATTTCTAAAAACGCGTAACACACATCGCGAAAAAACACGAACAGAACGATTCGCGTAGTTAGCGCGGAATAAAAAACAGTCAACAATTAAAAATATTATTTACAGACGTAACGTGTCAAGGGGAAAGGGGGGGGGGGGGAAGAGGAAAGGAGATGAGCGCATTGAATCCCTAAAAAATATGCGTATCGAGGCAATCGCGCTAACGGCGGATCAGGTTCTCGGGGATTGGCAAACGGGAAATCTTGGCAAGTTCGCTGTTATCGCGTAATTCACGGCGCGCAATTCGGCAAGATTTTTTTTTTGTTCCTCGTAGAAATAAATAGAAAAAGAATCGCGGACGACTCGCGCGAAAAAGTGACGATCAATCGATTTCATTGTGTCGATAATGTATCGTTGTATTTCATTTCGGTTATATTCGAGAAGCTCGATTTAAATATGCATCGCTGGTCAATGCATTTCGATTAAAATGTAAAAGCTATATAAACTAAACTAAAAACTAATTTATAATTAAAATAAAATTAAAGCACATTCACTAAATTTAAAGGAATATTCGATTTAAGAAAGTTAAATTAAATAATAATTTTATCATAAAAAGACTAGAATTTAAACAGTTTTTTTTTTTCATCAAACAACAAATATTTTTTTATGCTTTTATATTTTTTATAATTTTTAATTTATGTAATTTTAATATTTTAAATTTATATATTTTACAAAACATTTTTCAACAATGAGCAATTCTATCTCGAAAAATCGTTGCTAGATAAATTAACTAGCTAAACAATTTAGTTTACTCTGGTTAGGCAAATTAGTTTAATTACACGTTGATATAAATATGCCCATATGTTCATCACTATTTTAATTTAGCTGGTACAAGTATACTCAGTGCATCACTATTTAAAGAAAAAAATCAACTAGTTGATTTTTTAAAATAATGATGTATTGAACATACTTGTACCAATAATACAAATCAACTTAACAAATATAAATTATAGTGATGCATTTTGCTAAAATCTTAAACTTTAATCTATAATAGCATATAATAACAAGATCAAAGAACTTAGTATTATTCAACAGAATCTTTTCATTGTTCATTAAAAAAGATTGAAATATCTACACAGTTAACGAATCCAGTCAAAAATAGGTTAAAACGAGTTTTCCGACATATCATCGTCAATTAATTGTCATATGTCATATATTTAAGAAAAATTATGTCTTTCATAATTTCAGAATTGTTATCTGTCAAGAATATGATCGTCATTAAAAAAGATTGAAATATCTACACAGTTAACGAATCAAGTCAAAAACAGGTTAAAAGTTTTCCGACATATCATCGACATATCATCGTCAATTAATTGCCATATGTCATATATTAAAAAAAAAAATTACGTCTTTTATAATTTCAGAATTGTTATCTGTCAAGAACATGATCGTCACTTTTCGTTCAAGACGTCCGTTATACCGACAACGATCATAATATCATTCTCAGAGCACAGACATTATATATATTTTACGTAATCGTTTGCAATACTATTTGGTATATGATGTGCTTTTGCAGCAGGAACTATTTCAGTAGCAGTGATGCGAAAGTTTTCTCGATCGCGTCGGCGAAATTTCTCGATGTCGTTTCGTTCGCGCGAAAAGATCCGACAAATCTCGGTTCGCGACATTCTCCTAGAGATAATCGGCGAACGATGCGTAAAGTAAGACGATGATCCTCGCTATCGTCCATTAGTTTGTAACCGAATCCGAACGCGAACGAATGAACATCGTCCATTAACATTGAAAGGGAAAGATGTACACTTGAGAATCTCATTATCAAGATACACTTTTGACGACTCGTTTTATATTCATTCAACGAGATGTGTGATTGATAGCCATTTTTAACAATCTATCGATAGTAAAACGTATCGAATAGACGAGACGCTCGTTGAGACACAGTTTTTAAACTGCGTTCGCCGAGAGCTTCGCTATCAAAAATAGCGATTTTGACAATAATAGAAATCTCACGTGTATATCCGGCCCGACGGAAGAAAGGCGAAACCTAAACAATGGCAAGCACAGAAACGAGCGAAGAGCAATTAATGCCGCTTAAGCGTGGATCGAGCAAAAGCTCGAATGTTCATCGAGGGTGTATCCTGGGAGAGCTGCGAGTCGGTTGGTAAAAGTCAGTCTTGTGAAGGATATTGTGAGAATTCGCGCGCATGTAATTTATCTTTATACCCCGCACACCTGCGATAAGGAGCTTCACGGAGGGAGTCGCTCGATTAATTATCGCGATTAATTAACCCAACTGATTGCAAGAAATGTAAAACTGTCTCTTCCCATCCACGAATGAATTTCTCGATTCTAGCTACGTGTCGTTGCATCCGCATTTAAATCGATAGTTTCATTCCGATGAGAGTGTATATTAAAAATTCATATAATCTTTTGAATTCGTAAATACAAAAGTATGTACCGCGATAATTTTGGCCGCAACATCTTGGGAAGTTACGTCCAAGATTTATTGTATTCGCATTCGCGGTGCACACTCGCGGATCTTCGGATTTATATGCAGCAGTATATAAATATGTACGTCATTCGTAACCAAAATGGCTAATCGACCATCCGCCAATCCTCGCGAGCAAAGATAACAAATCAATCGTCGCTTAACATCAACACGTACCTTGTACAGTATCCAAACGGTATTCTACTTAATTCTAATCCGAACCGTTCTGTTGTAGCAACGCAGGCGCCGATTGTGTCGGTTGCGGTTGCATCGACGACGACGACGACGACGACTCCTGATGATGATGATGATGATCGACTATAGGCGACGGTGTTTCGCTGGTCTGCGAGTTCGTCAGATCACCGTCACCGTTGCCATCTCCACCACCGCCTGGACATCCAATTCCGTCGCCGCTTGAATTCACGGACGATTCGAAGGTTTTCTGCTCGCTCGGAGGTAACATATGCATCATATTCACCGCCAGAGGATAGGGCGCGGCAGCATAGTCGGGGGCGTAGAAACCTTGCGGCTGCGTCATGTTGCCGCTAATCAAGGAGCGATGGGAAGCGAAGCCGCTGTTGTCACCTGGATGCTGCAACGATAGACTGGCGAGCGCGTGGCTCATCTGCGGTGACTGCTGGACGGGCTTGATGTTATTGTTGTTCATAATCTCGGGAGTGTTGGTGCCGGTACAATTCCTACGCAGTTGCTCCAGCTTGAGACTCTTCCCATATTTACCGCGCACGTACATCAGCAAGCTATTATAAGGAATGCCAAACATGCGACTAGCTTGCGACGTGGTGAGCTTCTTTTCCCAGACATGCGTCAGAGCTAATGTAAGTTCGCTATTCGTCCACGATCTCGGCGGTCCTCCTCGCGGCGCACTATGTTGCCCCTTCGGCCTGTTCACCGCCATCGTGCGGCTGTTGTGATCACTCCATCTACGTTGTGATGTTCCATCGCTATCGCTCCGATGTTTTTTCGTTTTCTTGGGAGGAGGACCAAGATTTGGGGCACTAAAGATGTTCTGCAACGTCTCGTGATTGAAACTATCCGCGAGAAACGAGTCTGATGCGAGAACTGTCCTATCATACCCGGTGTGAGGAAAAAGTCCGCCGCCGAGAGTCACGCCATCCAATGGTGTAAACATCGACAAGGAATTGCGTCGCGGTACTATCGACGGCTCCTGCTGCTGTTGCTGCTGATACGCATGATGGGGCCTACCGGACCCGTGTGGACTGTCTTCGCGTGGATGATGGCCCTGCGGTGGAGGTGGCGGCAATGAAGTCTGCCCGGGTAGCCATTGGCTCGCCAGATGGCCGAGGCTTGTCAGGTACTCGGAGGGCTGCGTTTGCGTCAGAGACATCGACGGTATCACGGTGGCGACCGCCGCCGCTACGGCCGCCGCCGGTATGTCTTGTATGGAGCCGTCCGGATGCATCAGACTCGTTCCCGTAAGCGGCGAACCGCGCGGACTACTCGTCGCTTCGCTGCCCTCTGTCTTCACACGATGCTGTTCCAGTCCGCTCGGCGACATAGACTTCTTCATCGAAAGATTCTCCGCCATATCTTCTTGCTGCTGCTGATGTTGTGAATTCTGTTGAGCGTTGATCATTTGTTGTTGATTATTTCTGTTGATCATTTGTTGAGAATACTGAGGTTGTTGTAGTTGCAGCTGCTGTTGCTGCTGCTGTGCCTGGTGCTGGTTACCGCTGAGATTAAGAACACTCGGCAATGGACTCAAACTGGCCGGCGGAGTCGGGCGTCTGCTCAAATCCTGCGGCAGCAGTTCGCCGGAACGTCGGCGCGGACGCGCCTGCTTTCGACGCGGCATTAGCGGCGAGCCACAGCTCTCACGGATGCCAAAGTTCATATGACCAATGAGCGGTTTGGTTGGATGGTCCCTCGTTTGTTGAAACAGCGTCGGCTTTATCTCCTTTGTGTTCTCCAACGCGTTGTCATCCTCTTCCGGAGTGCCGTGTCGCGCGTCGTCCGGCGTGGTAAACTCCAGAAGAGTCGACGAGGATGATGACGGCCTGGGTTCTTCCGACACCAGCCTAGGTTCCGACGACGATAGACCGCGCACTTGCAGGCATTCCGCGGCTCTCATTAAACCTGGTAATTCCTCCTGAGCAATCTTCACCTCGCCGCCATACATAAAGTCGATCAGCGTGGACAATTCATGATTCGAGAAATCCTTCAGAACGATCACGGGATGTTTGCATGGATTCTCCGCGAATATCCTTTGGAAGAAAGGACTGCAACATAAAATCACTTCATGATTAGAAGCTTGTTTCGAAATTTTGCTAGTCGCGCAAAGAGATAGCATTCTTCTACAAAAGATCGATTTACGGTTAATTAAACGTTACGGCGCACAATCGCCCACGAAACTTTCGCATCGCGCTACTTGTAACATTACATGCATCGCATGGCGAAGAAACGTTACGTGTCTTCGCTCAGTAAGATAGAACGGTCGGCCAGAAACCGCGGGCAAAAAGCCACCGCAAGGATTAGCGTTACTTCTCTGGATCGAGCGACTGAGAATCAATCAGATGGTACAAGACTTTCGCTCGTTGTCAACTTTACGTCACACGTCCCGGGCGCGAAGCGAGAAAGAGCGTTGCGGTGTAACGTGTAGACGGTGACGCGGCGCGGCCGTCGTAAACCACGAAGGAAGGAGCGACGAGGAGAAATTTTTTCACGAATAAGAGAAAGACTCGCGCGAACGCAAATACTACTCTCGGTTTCAGAACGCGACGTTTTTTTAAGACACATTTTGTACACTTTTGTCAAGATTGATAAAACTCTCTCGACCGATCATTTTCAGTCGAAGTGCAAGGAACTGCTAGAGAAGCAAATAATGTAGGAAGTTATTGTCACGAGATATACAGGCGAAGGCGGGTTTATTATAGAAAGCTTTAAATCATCGCCGTCAAGCTAATATATTTCTTATTCTCTGTGCAATAATAGTACTCCTTTTCTTTTAATGGCGTTTCACTTGCAATGACATGAGTCATATTATCGGTCTCATGATCTCTGAAAATTTGTTGTATCAAAATTTTTCATTCTTATTTTAACAATGAAAACGTCACATCAAATACGAAAATCGCTGTTTCAATTGATTTTACTGTATTTAGAACACCTAACTGTAACAATTTCTTACATTGATTTTTAAATTATTTAACTTATAAATAGTAATTCTATATTAAATCAAGCACGTATCAAGAATAGAGATTCCACATTTTACGCGCGATGCTTATGATGAAAAAAATCATTATTATTATACAAATTGCATAAAAACAAATTATATAAAAAAATGTGTATATAAGAAAAATAAGTTTAATGAATAGAACATAATTTTCTGATACCATGTACATTTAAGAAGGAATATATTTAGTAAAGTAATTTTGTCGTGTGTGTGTGTGTGTCTGTGTAAAGTAAAAATGCGAAGAACGAAGGGTAACGTTGAAAATTTTGAGTATAAATCTTTACTTTCATCACTTTTTTAAATATTTTACTGCGATTAAAAAATTTGCTTCGTGAGACCAGTAAGATATAAAAGTTGGCATAGCCTTACGGTGGGATAAAATTTTGTTAAGAATTTTTAAACTGAAACACCTATATGTATAAATGTTCTCACGTGTACTACTATTAAACAAATTAATTCTTCTATTTTTCTTTTATTATTCACGCATTGTCATGAAAAAATTTCACAAATTTCACAAATTTCCTTGTCCTAATCTTTGAATACAATGGTTAGTTTGAAAGAATGCATAGTTTAAAAGAATAGAAGATAACGAATTATTTATAATTATCTACCTTAAAATAAAATAAAATTTGGTGTGAAAATAAAGTTTTGTATTATAAATAAAAATTGTGTTAAGAGAGTGAGGAAGAAAATAAAAAAATAATATCAAAAAAAATATTTATTAAAAAATATATAAAACTTCTGTTCTCTTCTCTACCTGCAGGCGCTGAGGACGACCTTGTGTGCCTTGACGCTGGTCTCGGCGCAGATCAGGGTCACGTCGACCAGATTCTCCTCATGTAGCAGCTCTTGGAAGAACTGTTGTATGTGGGCTTGATGGTTGTTCCACCGCAAAGAATAGAGTGATTGAACACCCATCCTGTCGGGACTGTTCCCGACGCTCGACATAGTTCTTCCGCCGCTAGCGCCGGAAGCTGGTGACTTACCAAAGTCGCCACCTTGTCCCGCCCCGTTCTCTCTCGTGCCGTATTTTCGTCCTGCGTGGTCCTTCCTTTTCCATACACGCTCGTATGGGACCACGTATGCAGGAAGGCAACTCCCTCTTCGTTCCTTCTCCCCTCTTTTGCCGCGTCGTCGCTATTTTGCACCTAAAATCCGTGAATGGTAGAGGGACCGGTTAAAAACGCAGCTCACCAAGCGGGTGGGAAAGGGAACGAATTCTCCGAAACAGAGAGAGAGAGGGAGAGAGGGATAGGCGACGCGACGTTCCCGAAGGTCATGAAAGAACGATGGGTGGTTTCGAAGAGGTACTCCCCTCGAGTTTTCCCGCCGCTCGGAGTTTCGGAGGATCTACGATGGCGATGTGCGCTCGCGCCGATATCACAAGTCAAGCTATTAGAAAGTTTTTGCAATACCGTGTTTCGAGATACGATAAACGTTAAGTCGCGTGTTTCGTACGAATAAATCGGCAATTTGAGGAGGGGGGAGGAGGAGGGGACCACACTTTCCACTTGTATCACACTTCTTCATTTCTCATCCAACAGATTTCAACGGGATCTAGCGAGACGAGAAATTTAGGAGCTCTTCATCGACCATCCAATTTTTACAAACGGGCATCGTTGTTCTTTTTTACGAAAATTATATTGTATAAAAATATTATATCTGCGTAAAAACATTTCATTAAATAAAGATTGAATAAACTGTTATACGCAAAGGTAGATGTTTGTTGCAGAAAGTAAATCCAATTTAAATTTCTATGGGATTTCATACAGACGGACATCTTTGAAAAAATTAACGTTTGTATCGGAAGCGGATGATTTCGCGAAGATTGTAAATTATATTGCATTACGCTAGCATTATCGTTACCCGGATAGACAATTATCAAATATGTTCCCAAGAACAACACGCGCGTTAATTATTCATCCGATCGAATGCGTAATAATTATTATTGACAAAGTTAAGAAACGTTTCTTCAGAGGGATGAAGGAAGATTATTATTTAGAATTAAAATCTGGAATTGAAGTTTATATTATATTCTTAGTATAGGATCAAGAAAAATTCGTGCCCTGTGCAAACTAATCAGTTTTAGAGAAAGATTAATTTTTCTGAAAAAAAGATTTTTAGAAACTAACGCACCATCCTGCGTTAGTTTATTGGCCAGCAAAAATTCAAATTTGTAATTATTATTGAATCGCACTTTGAGCGTGATTCACTCCCTTCCCCGAGTATTTAACAGCGACGGACTTGCTTCATCGACGATCGAGTGTTTGGCTATGAATAATTTTGCGCCTGGTAAAAAGGGGTAACCTCTCGGAAAAAGGGAAAGACTGGCGGCCATACGATCAATTTCGCACGCTTCCTACGGTGTCGGCCACTATTCAATTCGTTGCGAGGGAAATTTTCCGAATCGACACGCGAAATCACATGAACGGATCACTTTGCGGATTCGAAAGTTATATCAATCGCATCGAGAGACACCCACGCAAGATTCCAACAGAACGAAACGGCAATGAATAAATTCTCTCTTTCTCATTGTGTCTTTTTTTATCGTTGACTGACATTCTACCATCCGGCCCTCTTGTGTGGAAAGTTATTAGAAGACACTTATCTAAGAGTAACTCGTCTTTATCAATCATCCGTTAAATTACAGCGATTCGTGAACTTGTCGAGAAAATGTACGTTGCACCTACAAGCAAAGCTTTTGCGTGTCATTATTTTTATTAACGCTTCCGTATAATAGTACGATTTTAAATTAGGTTGATAGTGTGTCCAATAAATTATACTTAACAAAATTACAAATACATTTTTAATTAGCTCGTGTGTACCCACTCCTTGCCCTCTCTACGTCAATAAAATACACCATTTAACATACAGGTAAGCGCACGCAATTCTAACGCAATGGATGACCCTTGAGCCCTTGCACGTTGCTCTAGTCATCTGTACGCGACACAAATCAAAACAGATAACGTAATGTTCGCGCGTTCATGTGCGTTTATTTTATGATTAAAACATAATTAATGTAGAAAAGGTGGCACACATGCGTAGATTGCGATATGATCCGGAACGAGCGCGCGCACCTCTTCAACGTCACGTCATTCGCATATATGCGTAAATTGCATCTTGTTATAACGAAAAAAAAAAAAACCAGTTACAATATATCGATAAGTTACTCTGGGTGCAATTATATTAACATACAATAACAATACAATACATGCAATAACAATAAAAATAACGAACTTGCTCGAAAAGTGAAAAACATAAACGTGCGGCGTGCGAAATAGGAGAATCCTCTCGCGTTCAATTTGCGTTTGAAAGAGATTCTACGTGAAACGAATATCCTTGATAGTGTTGGGATGCTAGAAAATCTCGAAAAATCGATATTGAATAGGATAGAGAGATTTCACTTAAGTTTGTATTAAGCGTCAAAATTACTGTCAGTTATCGGCGTTAAATAAGCAATTAATAAAATCGCGTTCTACCGGCATCGCATAATTAACTGTTAGCTGACAGCTCTCTTACGATTGTAAACAATTTCTCTCGTGGAAGGGACCGAGGTAGGCGAATACGACAAACAGCGAACCGCAACAGAGTACAAACGAGAACGACGAGTTTCAATGTGTCACGCGACAAAATCAAATAATCGAACTCGCTTTTCGACCCACTACCCTTTTACATACTTCGACGACGAGCGTAAAAGCGACGTTAAAACGCGTACGGTCGCATTTCGATGGCTTTGATGACAAATCGCGAGACTGGAGAACACTTTTCTTTCTTTTTCTCTCTCTTTCTTTCTTTGACTCGATTTGTAAAGCGTGTCCCAGGGAACCGCCGAACCGGAATACGTCACTGTGCGCCGTCGAAAACTCCCCGCAAGTTTGTTGTCAAACTCGCACGTGTTCAGAAAAAGCGTGGATTTACATCGACCGGTACTCTCTCGCAATATCCCCTTCTTGCTTTTGCTCCATTTTTCTTTTTTATTTTTCACATCCGCGTTTCGAAGAGATCGTTGCGCGAACTATTAATCAGTAACGGTACATCGTATACTAAACTTCGTCGGACGTATATGTAGAAAAGAGCGAAGATTAATGTCGATGCCCGCGATTCACGCGATACGTAAACAATCACAATGGCTAATGAAAGTTTGAGATTTCGGAATGAAATGACGGAAATATGCGTGACAATTTGCTAGTCGATTGACGAGATCGGATTCCCACGTGCTTCAACCTTCAACTGGCTCAACCTCGATATCCAAGAGATATGTGAGAAAATTAATTGCTGCATGGTATCATTACGATTTCTGAACGAATCATTATCCAATTATATCTCTGACAAAACAAGAAGAAAAGTAACTAATTTACTGTAGTAAGTAATTTATATGTCAGAGAAACTTTTATTACTGATAAATTAGAGAATTCACAAATTGTCTTCTAAAATACATGTGTAGCGTTGGTTTCGATATATAATAAGCATTTTTCCATATTTTTTTCCCACGTTTCGCAAAAATTTTTGAAACTTTTCCTTTAGAATGCATTTATATCCTCTATGTCATAAAAAACGCGTATGCTTATTTTATAATTTTATAAATATATAATTGTATAATTGTAAATATTTTTCAACATATCGATTAATCAGTTTTTTATTCTTGTAGAATCTGACAAAAATTTAATATTAATATTCTAAATTTTTCTATTGCGTACTTTCCGACGAAAATTACAAAGTATGTGTGTCTTACACAAATCGCGGAACATAAATTTTCGATACCTGATTGAAACACGCAAATGCTTGTTGTATGAGAAAAAACTACGCTAGACAACCGCGTAATCTGTTTATTAGTATTGCGTATATTAATCGTCCGATTCCGTTCCTGTTTTACCAGAACTCGTATACGTTATACTTGAGAAAAAAAAACTTAGAATAAGCTTCAAAATTTACAGACGCAGAGCATTATAAACGTCAATTTAAAATCGGTTCGCAAAGCTCGCAATCATAAATACCAGACATGCAATGAGGTTTAGAGATGATCATCACACAAATCTCCGAACAATGGATGCTGCTAGTTGAAGGTTAAAGCACCGGTCTCGCTTGAATGATCTGATCGAGCTCTCACAGATCTACGATTCGATCTCACGAGTTCGATTCCTCGATCCAGTCAACGTAGTAGAATCTACGAGAAATCTCGTCATTTCAAGATATTATCTTGAGATTCATCGAAATCCTTCGACTCGTGTGTTTGCAGATTTTTTAGCCACTAGAGAGAACTTTTTCGAGAGAGAATGCAATTACAAAATCGAAAACACATGGAAGAGCAATGCACAATCGCGCCTACGCGCTCGCGTTCTATGATGCACTTGCGCCACTGACAATCTGGAGGCTCACTATACGGAGGATCGAATCTTTTATCGGCACTCAACTCACTTTGTGATCGTCTTCGAAATCTCAAATATTTTCGCAGAATATTCGATTGACAAAGGATCACGCACAAGGCGCCGGTTTACTACGCAGGAATCTTGCGCGGGAAGACTGCAAATCTCCAGAGACACAACAAAATATCTCTATTGTGTAAATGTGCGCCAAAAGAAAGTTAGGGAACGAATCAGTGAAAAAGAAGGAACAATAAACAAGGAAAACAAAGAGGCACGCACTTGTTTCTTAGTATTTACTCTGCTTAGCTGTATTACGGAAAAAATATAATAAAGGCGAGTAAACAGAGATATGTAATCATTAAATAAAGTTATATTATACAACTAATTTGTATGCTAAAAGAAAATCGTAAAATTTGATCTTGTAAAAGTTCAATTAACTAATACCACATAGCCAAACCGAGAAGCGAAAAGACACATACCGTTGCAAAGAGGTCTTTAAAATTATAGTAAAAAAAAAAAGAAGAGAGAGAGAAGAAAAATGTACGAGGGAGTCGGGGAGCGTGGCGCTTCTAAACGCGCGCGCGATCAGCTGATTCTCACTGTCACCCACCGTGCAGCCCGCGGCGAGAGAGATCACAAAAGCGCACGAGGAAACTATCGGGCCGCGGCTGGCTCACGTGGCAAATTTTTCCAAAAGTATATTTCGGCACACGCACACACACGTGTAACACATTGCGGGACACCGCACCAAAACAATGGCGAGCACCTGCGAGCGAGATATCCCGCGTTATTTCTCGTCGCGTGTATCTCTGGGTAAACACCGCGCGGCCGGGTAAACACTGGCTTTCACGAAGTCGGTCGTGGGACACCGGAAGGAATTCACGACGGAGGGTTGAGATACAGGGATAATTGTCGCGCACGGGATCGACTGTCCGGAGGTAACACGCGTGTGTGTCGCGCGAGGGGGTGGTCGAGAGAGAACTGACCGTGTCGTGCGGGTTGCGTGTGCGGCACACAGAGCGGCGTCGGCGACGGCCGGTGAGTGAATGCGCCGTGACGTTAGGCGCCCCTCCTAAGATTCCCGCCCCTCTCGTTCTCCTTAAACCTCACATGCTCCCTCTCCCCATCTCTTCGTTTCTCAAGCAGTCGGCGCGTCTCTTTCTTCGCGGGACGCTCTCGCTCGCTCGCCGGTTAGCCCTTTCCCTTCAGCTCTATCCCTCTCTCGCTCATGTGCGATCTCCAATCCACCTTCCTTACCCCACTCTCCCTTCGGTTTCTCCACCGTCACTACGCTCTCCCTTCCTATCCGTCCCATCCTCGCGCGTACAAGCCGGCTCGTTCGTTCTCTCTCCCACCCTCTCTCGCTCTCTTCCTCGCCACCCTCGACGTTTGTCCCGCGCCGCTCCAACCAACGCTCGCGGACCGCGAACTACCCCTTTCCTTGCTTTCTACTTTGGGGAGAGCCGCTTGTTCCGATGCGAGACGCGCCGCTTCTTGTTGCCCTAACTCGTCGCCCCCTCACCCCTTTTCACCACCGGGCGCGCGCGACCTAACCCTCCTGTATCTGCCGGAATCGCCGCGCGGTTCCTCGGGATATCAACGGCCGCGAAAAGTTCGACGCGTTGGAGACACCATGATTTTTTTAAATGCGCTCTTTGTTGCAAGTGATATTCGCAAATCTTGATTAATATTCGATTTAGGCGATGAAAATCTTTTGAGTATTTTATCGCGGGGGGGGGGGTTAACAATTGTCTTACAATATTTATCTTACGTACGGTGCATTGTAGTGCGCAAGTACAAGTTTGTTTAACAATTTAGAGATACGTGCATTTAAGATATATCATATCACATAGCAACTGCAAAAAAAAAAAGAAATTATAATTTTTCACTATTTTTAATATCTTTTGCGTTCACTCTCTGGATAATTATGATTAAATAGATTTGCAAATAACGCTTGCTCAAAATCAAAGACGTCTTAATCCTATACATTTGTCAACAATAATTAAAAAAGTTTATTTGGAAAAAGTTTTTAGGAAAAAATAAAAAAAGGGTTTTCCACAATTATCAGTCGCAACTATTAAAAAATATAAATTCAAATATACGAAATAATTGGTGTCAATGTACAAAAGTAGCCGTGCAAGTAGTATTCGTATATCATTACACGTTACACGCACAATTTTTTCAAATTTTAAAATAAAGTTTTAAATTTTTTTTTGTATGCATAACAAATCATTTAACGTACTACGTGGAATAGAATTGCACGTAATTATTAATAAAATTTAACTTGTTAAGGCAGAAAATAAAAATGCCCTGTTGCATATGCCTCACGCACGCACACATGCCGCCTCTCCGATATTTATAAAAAATAAAATGGTATCTTTACGCACAATATGTTACTAAGAATAAACGGCATGTAAATAACACCTCATTACCATTCACGTCATAAAAAATCATATACATGCCTATTCCCTTGACTTTTTCCGATTCCATCGTAGTATTTCGACATGATTCTTTCTATTTCTTTTTTTCGTTTCAAATATATAAGATTACGAATACAATAATTATGTCGTAAAAATTGTCTATTTAATCTTAACGGAGGGGACCAATTTTTATGAGAGATTTTATTCTATAATAATATATAAAAATAAATATTTTTTATAATTATCTAACAAATCATTAGACAGAGATTCAATTTTCAAATGCTATCAGAAAATCATAAGTCTCCAAATGCATTAGATACTTTGTCGAGTTGTTTAAGTCTATCGGGATTCAAGAATTTAACCCTCGAAAAAGAAATACCTGTGAATTCTGAGAATCTCGTCGTCAATATTTTTGGCACAATGGCGTCCCCTTCTTGGTCCCCTTGTTCGCAATTATCTTCCGTGTGGATTGTGTATCGGTTTACACTGAACGAGAGTCCTGCGAAAAACTGAATCGCATCGCCGTCGAAGGCTCGATCGACGGCGTGTATATTAAGATGATCAAGACACGCGAAGAGGTAACAGAAATGACGAAAACATCGACGATATGGTTAAGTAGTCAACGTTGCCGGCAAAGATGGTACTAGATCCAGAATCTCAATTCCAGAAAACAATATCTTCAATATGTAGGGCTATGAAGTTTTCTCGTCAAGCGAACGAGTCCAAAAAAAGGTCTTCTCTTGTCTTCTGTTTTTCTTACAAAACTAACAAAAATAAAAATAAAAATTTTTTGGATGCGTGATATTTAATTTATTGTTAGTGATTACTATAAAATTTTTATTTTTTTATTCAATTTTTATATTTTTTGTTCTTTATTATAATTTTTATATTTTTTATTGTTTCAGTTCATTTTTCTTATTTTTTCTTTGAGTTAAAAATTAGCTATCTTTTAACATCGCGGGTCTTATTATTCGTACTTAATAATATAGATAATAAATGATAGTTACTGTTTAAGACGAAGCACCGACGTGAGATTTGAGATCCGAATCCAGGATCTTTGAAAAATTCCGTTCTCGAATCACGGCACTACACTGAAATATATACAAAATGGAAATTCCAGAGTTCTCTGTAACAATCGCGTATGTTCTGTGCGTGCGCTGTCACATGACCGGTCCTTGTAACTATTACCTCCAAATATCTTCGGAACGATGGTCGGAATAAATCACCAGGGGCAAGCACACACATGACACAATCACCACAAATAAATTGCGTAAACACGCGCGCACGTGTTTAAATTAGAATATTGTCAGTTGTTGACCCGTCGATAGGGCGATGACTATCGAGCAATCTCGCATCATCATCATTGTCATCAGCTCTTCATACGGCTTGGGGTCTCCCTGTGGGTCGTGCACTCACACGTATGAATACGTTGTATGTAACCAACACAACAAAGATATTATCCCTTCACAAATCGCTAACTTGCACCGTGACCTCCGCGCGCGTAATTCCGCAGGTGGCACGACGCATGTACGTTACATACACACGTATGCACCTAATACGCGGCGGGAAAGCGGTCGAGCGGTGACCGGACAACCTGGCTCTCAGAGCAGTCGAGTTGTTACTGCCTTGCTACTGAAAGTGGAGAACGAGACGAAGAGTCCCACCTCCTTGTGCCACCTCCAGCCGAGTGGGTACCAGCCCATCGGACCCTCCTTCCGTTCTCTCTCTTTCTCTCTCTTTTTCTTTTTCTTTATAAAAGTGTTGAGATCCCATACACGCAACTAAATTATGCATGCATTTACACATATTTTCACTTAAACTATTTCCGAGTAATCTTCACATACCTTCACATATCTTTATATGACACCTTCAATGATATCTTTAAACAGAAACAAATTTTTCAAAAATGATCTACAAAAGCCGACCTTTTTATATATTTTACCGTCATAAAGAAGTAAACTATGATTGTGATCTATTGTTTTATTTGCGTTTTTTCATAAAGACACAGTTGGATGAATAAGTCAAAGTACTTGGCTAAAACAAAATACATTGATAAGTCAATGAATATTTTTCAAAAAAATGTTGTTCCCTTTCCTCTCTGAAGAATATAATTTTTTGAAGAACCTATTGTTAGCATAATAAAGCAAAGACTCAGATAAGACTATGTGAAAGATTAAAAATCAAGTCCAAAGCGAAAAAATATTTTAAAAGAAATATATATATATATATATAGAAAGAGAGAGAATAACATCCATTTTATCCATGTACGTCCTCTTCGTGCACATTGTAGTTGTAAGAAAAAAGAAAGTTCGTTTAGAACATTTATGTTAGAAATATTAAGATACTTTGAAATATAACGGTAAATTGTAAACTGTAAAGCATATCTGTGAAACTTCAAGGGTTTAAGAAAAGAAAAGAACAGAAGAATACCTTGTATCTATTGCTAACACCATCCCATGTTAACTCGTAAGAAATTGTCTTACATGTAGGAAGAAATTGAATGATTATTTCTCGTATCTCACATATTTTATGTTTTCTTTTTTTAATTTTTCATATATATATAATCATATAAAAATTTTTTTTATTTTAGTTATGAAGACGGGCACATATTAAAAATGCTCGATGAAGAATCACGTCAATCGACAAAAATTCCCTTATATTGCGTTTCACATCTCAGTTAAAAAGCGCTTTCGCGTCATTATGAAGTATCCCGGCCAAAAAGAATTTGTTAACAACATGAATCCCGCCTTTGCAATTGTTTGTGCAATAAGCCGCTTATGTTCGGACTCCGAAAGATATTACTGTGTGCGTGTATTTATAATTCTCGCTAATTTTCATCAACTCTCTTAATGTTCTTACCGGCATTACATCGGGGAGGTATAGTGCATTGAAATCATTATGAAGAAATAATATTCTAGCGACTTTTCGTACGAGAAACGGCGACATCGTGTATTATATGTAACAAAATATCGATAATACGATTTGCATGATGTTTAAAGAAGTGTCGCTTGCAATTTGCATAGAATTCACGAAATTTTATCTAGCCCTTACAACGAGTGTAGTCTGTTGAGATAATCGTCCTTCGAGATACATAACTACATACGATATATAACTTCGACATTTAATTATTAATCAATATTCTTATTTTAGTGTTATCTTTGCCGCGCCGACTATTAATATACGAATAAAGACCGACGATGACACTAATTATGTTAGAAGGGGACTTGTTTAATCTTATATATTTCTAGCATATCATTCCTAAATCAATCACGAATAATTTCGACAATTTCTTCATGATTAAGTATGTTTGTATATAGTTTATTTAAATAATCATAAATATATAAATAATTATAAATACTGATAGAATGAAATTTTTGTTATCAAAAATAATAGACCGTAAATTGAGATTAAACCACACCGTAAACTTTTTGGGACTATATATAATTTAAAATTTCATAAATAATTAAAGAATAAGAAAAATTAAAAACGAGATAAGATTATTCTTTCGATGCACATTTCTACCATCGAAACAACATGACATATACAGTATAGTGTTTTGTAAAAGTTCTGTAAAACTCAAATTTAATGCATCAAGCATCGTTTGCATCCGCGTAAGCATCAATCGTTTCGATTCTGGTTGAACTATAATTAATAGCAATCCGAAATATTTTTTAATAAACATGAACACTCTCTCTCTCTATAATAGAAAGCGATAACGTTCTTACACCTTGTTTCCCGACATATTAAAAGACGTTTTTCTTCCGAACCGATGGACTTCTTGAACTTATACGATTATGCAACATGCGAGAGGGATCTGTGATGGATATTAGAACAAACCTTTCTCGATTATCTGCTCATACCTAAAACCCTTTTCCACTCTGCTGAACGGTTAACACCGAGGTGCAATTTTATCTTATACACACGATACCGTAATGCAATGTTCATATTTACGGCCTAATGCAATGAGGCAAAAAAATGTAGTCCTTAAATGTAGACCTTTTGGGCTTAATACCTGGCGAACGACAAAGGATGAATGTTAATTTATTCCGTTGAAGTTTAAAAAATACGTAAATCATCTATGTAAACATCATATTTATTAGCATCCGATGTATTCGATTCGCTCATCAAGACGGTACGCCAAGGAAAATTTGTACGCGATATAGATGAGAATATCACTCGCTTTTCTTTTCGAATATTAATCCATATATTCCTTTTTTTATTCTTTCGTGTTACCGTCAAAATATAGCATACATTAAATATACGGCGGACTGAAAAAACTACAATAACGTTAATTGAAGGCCATAGAAAGTATAACCCGCTATAAGAAAATTGTTTTCTTGAGAAGAGAAAAAAGAAAATATATACCGTAAATACACAATGCCTCAATACAGCGATGCTTTCCTTTTTTATTTTACTTTTATTTTTATTTATTTATTTTCATTTTTAATTAAACAATGATGATAAAAAAAAATCTTGTACTTGCAATTATCATTACATTACATCCGTCCGATATTTTTGTTTCCACTATATGTAATAAACGTCAATTCTAACTAATATTTAAAAAGAAACAAAGAATGCAAATATTTCAAGAATTCCGTTCATTTTCACTTGTTTTTCCAGCGTGCACCAACTGTTAGATGAATTATATTGTACCGAAACTTTTGTGAAACTAATTATTACTAATTGCAATGAAACGTTATAGCGCAGTGCGACTTTCGAATGATAACGAGAGATCGATCATAGTCAATCATAACGGCCTAACTGGAGGGTTGCCCGGCGCCACACAGCCGAGCTTCTCGAGACATAAAGCATCGCTCGACTGGTCAATTCGCACGGTACAGGTGTCCTCGAGTTGTATATGTGCCGAGCCTCCCTTGAAGATTTCATCATGTGGGGTAAGAAAAAGCAACGGAGCAAGACTTAAGCCATAAACGAGGGTGCATGCCTTCACCTGCCGAGAAAAATTCTACAACGCAAACTAGCTAGTGCATGACTAATCGCTACATGTGCCATAAAAACTCGAGAAAAATTACTTCTTTGCGACAAAGGAAGATAGAGAACGAGAGAAAAAGAAAGAAAGAGACTGAGTAATAAAAAAGAAATAGTTGACGAATTTTTCGGTTCGAGTAAACAGTATGCTTACTCATGCACTTCTTTTACTCCATTAAACGAATTCCTCTTCGCCAAAAGAAAAGAGAGAGAAGTACACATATAATTTCGCACAATGAACGGAACATATTCGACCTGTTATTATTGTGCCAAAATATGTATGGTAAAACATTAAATAAGACAGAAAGAAAAAGAAAGAGATAGACAAATAAATGAATAAATAGATTAATAAAAGAAAGAGGAAGAAAGAGAGAGACGAAAATAAACGTGTAAATAAATGAGACAAATTAGATGTATATACTAAACCTAAATATTTATAAACGCATGTATTATTTATATTTATTCGTATATAATTGTAAAAATAATTAGAAAAATCTATTAATATATATAATATA